CACCTCCAATTTTGAAGGTGCATAACTAGCTTCAAAATTGAGATAGAGATTTGGTTTTTGAACCATTTTGTAGGAAATATGCGCAACTTTTAGGGTCTTTTTAGGCCCAGTTTCAGCATTTCGATTTTTTTTTGTTGATAAAAACTGCAAAATTTAAATTTTATCGAATTTGATGTCAACAGAATGGCTCTGAAATTCACTTCAAAATAGCCGAAAAACCAGCCAAAAAGCTCAACTTTGGAGCGAGTTATGCGGTTTCAAAAATAGAGGTTAAAGAGTGAGAGGCGCCAGAGAAAACGACCGTCTGCTTCTCTGCCACCTCTCACTCTCTCACCTCCAACTTCAAAGGCGCAGAACTCCTATGAAAATTGAGCTAATGAGCTGGTTCTTGGACTATTTTGTTGGAAATTTTGATTTTTTCATAGCTGTTAAAAAAATGTTCAAAATCGAAAAAAAATCTTTTGCTCACCTTATCAATCTCCTTGTTAATCTGATCGATGGTTTTTGTCTCGGCACTTCCAAGGATTTTCTGAAAACTTTTACGATTTTCGCCTGCATTTACAGTACAGTAACCTTTTTTACAGAAAGAATACAGTACGACAAACTTGAGATAGAGATCCCATAAGAATTGGAATTTGTAGATCAAAAAATTTCCTATCGATTGGTATTAATATCATTTAGGGTTTAATCAGAAAATTAAGTTCGAAAATCCAATTTCCGGTTTTTTCAACTTTCAGCCGTTTTTTCTAATAAAACCCTAGATAAAATTTATATCGATCGATAGAGAATTTTTTGATCTACCTTTCCTAACTCACATCAATAACTTCCGTAGATGGCGTCCTCTGTGTGCTCACAATTGCTCCAAAGAGCACCAGAATGGCAATATTTCTGATCATCACCAAACCAAATAATAAATATTTTGATGGAACGCCAAAGGAGATACTAATTGTCTTTCCAAAGATGGGCAAAAGACAGCTAAGTGGGCGGAGCCTAGAGGAGCAGACCCTGTGTAAATAGAATGACCAGAAACAATAGGAACAGAACAACAAGGGAGCCGGAGGAGGACAAGGAGAGCAGATGTGTGAAAAGTGTCTGTGGCGGGGAGAATGGGGTGGGCAAGCAAACATCATGTTATCCCACTTTTCTGCTGTGTGAAACAAACCGACCAATTGTTTTTTTTCTCTTGAGCGAAGAGAAATAGTTTTTACCGACGCCCGGGAAGTTTCTGGTTTCAGGAAGAGACGGAAATCAAAAAAAGTGCATTGGGGATCTATTACAGAAAAAACAAAAAAAAAAACAAAAAAAATTGGCGCCATGGGGAGTCGAACCCGCGTCGAGAAATTACTAGACAGTAGCGTTAACCACTATACCACGCAGGCAACAGCGGCGCGGGGAAGAGAGGGGGTACACGTGACTGCCGCCTCTTCCCCCTTTCTCTGGAGGCGTCGGCAGGAAGCTTACACCTTGAAGGCGCATGGGGTGGGTCTCACCACGATTTGAAGAGATTACTGTAGTTTTTTTCAAAAATCACGTAATTTTTCTTCAATTTTCCAATTCTCTTTTTTTGATGACCGGGGCAAATCAATTTTGCCACGCTCTTCAAAAAAAAATATTTTTTCCACGTCACCCCTTCCCCCCCCTCTGAAAAAAAATTATTTCTGTGTTCTTCTCACCCCCAGGGTACCTCACACTCACACTCTGCTTCCAATCTTCATTCTCTCGTCGAAATGTTACATTACCTGTTGTCGATTCCACTCTTTATTATTGAAAACGTAAGCTCCGCCCCTTCCGGTAGATCAAAAATTTCTCTATCGATTGGCATAAGTTGAAAATTTTTGATCTACCATTTCGCCCCCAAAAACCAAGAAATTTCCAGAAATTAGAGCTATTTGTCTCGTGCATACTCGGTGTGGTCATCTACTTTCTGTGGCCGGCGAAAGACGATTCGGAGGGGTTGAACGATTGGAAATGTTAGTTTTGGCAAGGGGCGGGGTTATTAGGGACCATCGCAGGAAGAACAAAAAAAAAACAAAAAATTTTGACCCCAAGGGGGATCGAACCCGTGTCGACAGATTCAAAAGCGAGAGCGCTAACCACTAGACCGCGGGCGCCCAAGGAGGGAGGGCGTACAGGAGGCGGCGCCTTCTCTTCTTTGCCGCGCCCTGCAATAGGGGGGGGGGGGAGAGAAAAGGACCGATTGAAAAAGGTCACGCGTGGCTTAGTGGCTAGCACTCTCGTCGTTGAAATTGGCGACCCGGGTTCGACCCCCGCTGGGGCCAATTCTTTTTGTTTTGTCGTATATCGTGCCGAGACCTTGCCCATTGTTTGCCCACCTTTCCATTTTCAGCTGTGCCCAGTAAGACTGTCCAAAACAGTCCGGATGTCTACGTGGATCCGATGCCGGAGGGTCGGAGCCCAGCGTTCTATCCGACAAGTCCGTTGAGGAAGGGGTTTTGGTAAGAATTCAGACTACAAACTACAAACTACAATTTCACTCATTTCCAGGCCCAAAGACGACACCACCCCTGAAAAGGTCCGTGGCTCGTGGGAAAAAATTTCGCGACCCCCACCCCGAGAGCTCTTCGAGCCAAGTGAGCAAGAAAAGGTGCCGTCCAACATCAAACCGGAGATCTTTTTCGTCCTGAAAGCTCTGGAAGGCCTCGAACTCCCCCGGTCCTGGCAACTGGACCCAAGAGACGTTGACACTCTATCGATTGATTCGGGGAATACGGTCCTGAGCCCCGGCGATCAGAACGATGTGATTGTGGTGGTGATATCCGGGGAGTTGGGGATTTTCACGACGGTCAACTCGGCGGATAAACACTATGATTGTAATATGAAGACGTTGAAAAGCGGGGAGTCGTATTTTTCGCAGACATCGATTATTGAGATTTTGATGGTAAGGGGGGCCTCCGGACAAAAAAACAGAGAAGAAAAAAAGATTTGACCCCAGTGGGGATCGAACCCGCGATGCAAAATTGGTGCGCAAGCGCGTTAGCCACTAGGCCGCGGCTGCAGATCAGAGAGTCGAGGGGGAGAGCGTAGAGGAGGCGGCGCCCAGGAAAGGGGGGGGGGCGGGGAGAGAAGACGAACATGCAAAAAGGTCACGCGTGGTCTAGTGGCTAGCGCTCTCGTCGTTGAAATATGCCACCCGGGTTCGATCCCCAATGGGGTCAATTCTTTTTGTTTTTTTGTATATCGTGCCCAGCCCTTGCCCAGCCCTTGTCCATCCCTTGCCCACCCGAAATTCTCATTTTTCCAGAACGAAAAACCCAAAAACAAGTACATCCACCTCAAAGCTCTCACCAATTGCCGGGTGGCCAAGTACAAGTTGACCTCATTCCACACCTCATTCATCGCCAACCCTCAGGAATGGATCCGGACGATTCAGGTGGTGATGACACGCCTACAACAGTGTACACTGATCACTTGCAACATGTATTTGGGAATCGGCGGGAAGTGTATCGATCAGGTAAGTGGAGACTCAGAAAAGCTAGGTCTCTGTGTGTTCTGGGTTTCTGGCAGGCCCCCCCCCCCCCTCCTTTTGGGGGGAAAAAAGCAGAAAAAAGCCGAATCCCCAACTTCTCTGGGGTTTCTCCCCTCTCACCTTCCCCCTTCCAGAAACGCATCATCCCTAACCCGCAAACCTACCTGGATTTTGACCTACTCCCCTACGAGGAACAAATCAATAAGGGCATCAGACTCATGGCCGAAGCCATGGGAATCCCGGAGCATGCGGAGAGTTTGAGGGGCAAGGTAAGGCCTTTTGCCATTTTGAAGCGGCAAAATATGGGCAAATTGCAGGTCAAACGATACGAATGTCAGACGGGAACAGTGGTCACCGAGGAGAACTCGTTTGAGATCGACATGATTTTTGTGGTGTTTGGGAAGCTGCGGTTGAAGAGGGTGAGTTTGATTGGGCAAGTTGGCTAGTCTTGCCTGGGCAGCTTGCCTAGTGTTGCCTAAGCAGCTTCCCTAGTCATGCCTTGGCAGCTTGCCCATCCCTCCCTGGACAACATGCCCATCCTGGCCTAGGCGAGTTGCTCATCCTCGCTTAGACAGTTTGCCTAGTTTTGCCTGAGCAACTTGTTCATTCTTGCCTAGGCGAATCGCCCATCATTGACTAAACAGCTTGCTCATCTTTGCCTAGGCAGCTTACTTATCCTTGTCTGGGCAACTTGGCAATCCTTGCCTAGACTCTCTCGGGCAGCTTGCTTTGGCAACTTGCCGAGTCTTGCCTGGGCAGCTTGCCTAGTATTGTCTGGGCAGCTTGCCTATTCATGCCTAGGCAAATTGCCTTGTCTCGCTTGGGCAACTTGCCTAGTCTTAGTCTAGCATAGGCAGCTTGCCTAGTCTAGCCTGGGCAACTTGCCTAGTCTTGCCTGGGCACCTTGTCTGGTCTTGCTTGGGCATCTTACCTAGTCTTGCTTGGGCAGCTTGCCTAGTCATGCCTTGACAGCTTGCTTAGTCTTGCCTAGGCAGCTTGCCTAGTCTTGCCTAGGCAACTTGCCCATCTTTGACCAGGCAACTTGTCTATTCCTGCCTAGGCGTCTTGCCTATTTTCGAAGTTGCCCTCTCTTGACTAGGCAAATCGCCCACCATTACCTGAGAAACCTGCCCATTTTTTGGCTTAGGCAACTTGCCCATTTTTTGGCTTAGGCAAATTGCCCATTTTTTGGCTTAGGCAACTTGCCCGCTTTTGCTTAGGCAAATTGCCCACCTCTTGCCCACAACTTGCCCATCCTTGCCAAGGCAAGTTGCCCTCAACTGACCCTCTCATTCCAGGGCTCCATCGAACGCGACGAAACCGGCACCTCCCTGACCTTCGACGTCCACCCCGGCGACATCCTCCCCTCCATGCAAATCCTGACCAACGAGCCGGCAATGTGTACGGCAAAAGCGATGGAGAAGACAATCTACTTCAAGATCTGCCGTGACGAATACATACAGTACCTTTGACCATGGGGTGCCCTCAAACTAACATTTTTTCAGATTCCTGTTCACCTACCCGGTCATTTATCTCCGCTTGGCCTTCCATGCCCTCCATTTTGTGTCTCCATTTGCCCGAGTCTTTGATTTGGCCGTCAGTTGGCATCGGATAGAGACAGGGCAGGCATTGTTCAGGTACATTTTATAGAAGGGCACCCCCAGGGGTACGAAAATTGAAAATTGAAATTTCAGACTCGGCGACATATCCGACTGTATGTACATTGTGATGGGCGGTCGGTTGAGGGCTGTGGACGCGTCGAAAATCATTGAGGAGTACGGTAGACTGGATTTGATTGGAATCACGGATATGGCCGAGAAACGGCCCAGGAAGTGTACGGTGATGGCTGTGAGGTTCTCGCATATTGTGTGTGTGCCGGAGAATTTGTTGGGTTTTGTGAAGATTCGGTATCCGCAGGTTAGT